CCTGAAGACTCTCACCGGCCTCACATCTCTGTCAGTCCAGTCCCACTCCGCTGCATCGTCCTTTCCCCGAGGCGCACCCATCATGCTTGCATAGACCTGTTTCCTTTGCCGACGCACATGGGCATGCGTTCTATTTAATTCGAATCAGATGTGCAACTTGCCATGTTTCCAACAGTCCACCAGTCTAGGCATCCCAATTCATTCACCTCCCCCTTGCCATGCCTCTCTGAAGGTCTCTCCCCATCATCATGCTCACTCACTTGTCTGCCGGTCAGGTTTTATTCACCAGCCTCCGCCATGTGCTGCCTCTTGTGCCTCTTGTGCCTGCATCACCATGCCTGTTTCTTCTGTGTGTGTGTGTGTGCGCGCGTGCACGTGTGCGCGCATGTGCGTGCGTGCGTGTGTGTGTGCATGCTTGTTGCGCATGTGTGGCCGGGTGGGCATGGATCAACAGGGATCTCGCATCCAACAAGCTTGACGGAGACCAAGTGCTGCCCAGCATCACCTTTCCCACCTTGCGATTCCTGTACGTGCTGCTGCGATTTCTCCCTGCTATTCGTGTGTGTGCTTTGGTGGATGCTCCATGCCCCTCTCTAATGCTCCGTGCGCCCCTCTCATGGCATCGTGTGCCATCAGGAATCTTTCCAACAACCGACTGACTGGCAGTTTGCCTGAATATCTCACCACCATGACTAACCTGGTCAGCCTGTGAGTGATCTCTCCGCACTTGTACCTCCGTCCGTCCATCGTTTCTCTTCCCTCCAGACATGCATTCTGATTTCATACTGCACATATTCGCACGTACTGTGCAACACTATTGACTTCTGATTTTGCTGCCGTTCTTCCAACACATCTCCAATGCCTGTTCCATGCCCCCTCACATGCGCCGCCATATTTCATGCCACTAATGTTAATACATTGTCAGTTTATACTACAAGAGCATGCATGGCAGCATAGGTCCATTGTTATGCAGATCCCTTCATCTTTTGCAGCGAGGTTGTTTTTGAGACGTCTCAAAAACAACCTCGCTACACGTGGCCATTGTATGCAGATCCCTTCATCTTTCGCACCTACGTTCCCTCGTTCGTTGTGGCCCTCTGTCTTGCCTTTGCATGAGTGCAGAAGCGTTGCTTCCAACTATATGGAAGGAACCATCCCCCCAGCCCTTGGAAAGCTGGACAAGCTGTCAACTCTGTAAGTAATAAGAAAAGAAGTGTACTTAATCCACTAGTCGAGTGGCAGCTAGCTAGCTAACAGGTACATCCTCTGAAGGCTGGTAGTAGCCGACTAACTAGTTCAGTGGACACCGGACAGCCAAGGACGGCAGTGCACAAAACAGTCCGATGGGCCAAGCCAAACGAAACCACTTTCTCTTCCAGTAGAACAGAACGGTTGGTGAACATGCTTATGACGGAACAAAAGTGGAAGGGAGGGAATGAGGCTGGCATTTTCTCAGCCACGATCTTCTATGAGCCTGTACCCACCCACCCCTCCCCTCCAGTCTCCACAGGCGCAATGCCCCCTGCATTGAAGGACGAGCAGAGCAGACAAGTGCAGGTAGACGATTTCAGGGGTGAGGCTCATCTCTTAGGTTATCATTCTCAACAACAATGCCCCCTTTCTCTGCAACCGCTCTTCGTCTTTCGCCCCCTGTTTGCCTTGGCATACTCAGGGCCAAAGATAACAACAACCTCACGTGCCCTGACAGCTACAGCAGCTGCGGTGTGCCTCAGGATACGTCCTCTGGCTTCTGCCGCACCTGCCCTGGCTTCTGTGCCACATGTGAGTTTCGTTCTTGAGAGGAAGGGAGGTGGAGGAGGGGTAATTCTGTTTCCAATTTAAAACCAAGATGCCCTGCTGTGCACCCAGCTGCCATGCTGTGCACCCAGCTGCCCTACCGCCCCTTGAATTCAATTTTGTCAATCACTTGTCGGTTGAACCTGTTCGAGTCCTCTGCTCTGTTGGCAGGTGACAAGCACAAGCCACTTCCTTGGTGGGCAATAGCGGCAATCGTGGCTGGTGCTGTTCTCACTGCGGCGCTCGCTGTACTGCTCTACCTCTACTTTTTTCACAAACGTGCGTCCCGTCCCGTCCCGCATCACACTGCCTTGCCCTTGCTTGCCTGGCACATGCACAGCACCGACGAGTCATGTGGCTGCCGTCTCTCTGGATCTCTTTATTGCCACTGTCATTGCCGCTCCACTTCCAGTCGCCTCCTCCCGTTGCCACCACTTTCTCGCCTGCTCTCTTTGCCCGTTTGAAAACTCTCAAGGGCGCTTTCTGCAACCTGGTTGAGCGCCAATGGGGCCTCTCAGCCATTCCAGCAGCACTCGCTTCATCACATGGATGCGCACACTTTTCACGGTTATCAGTTGGGCTTCATTCTCTTAATCGCATTCGCTGCCTCCCAATTCCTCCACTTCTGATCCTTCTTGCAGCGCTGATGAGCAGCAAGGCGGTATCGCAGGTGTGTCAGGAGTATTCACTGGTGGCGGTGGCGAAAGCAACCAACGGGTGGTCTGAGGCCAACCTGCTGGGCGCGGGGGCCTTTGGTGACGTGTACCGCGGCGTCTCTCCCACCGATGGTGTCACGCAGTGAGCTGTGAAGCGAGCCAAGATTGTCACCACCGACTTTGACACCGAGGTGCGCGCGTGTTGTGGTGCTAATGCGTCCGCGTTCGTGTAATGTGGTGTGATGCGATGCGATGTGGTGCGATGCGATGCGATGCGATGTGATGTGATGCGATGCGATGTTATGCGATGGGATGCGATGTCATGTGATGTGATATCATGCTATGTTACGTCATGTCACGTCACGTCGTGTCACGTCGTGTTGTGTCGTGTCGTGTCGTGTCCTGTCGTGTCGTGCAGTGTCGTGTCGTGTCATGTCGTGTCTTGTCGTGTAGTGTAGTGTCGTGTCGTGACGTGACGTGACACAATGTGATGTGATGTGATGTGATGTGATGTGATGTGATGTGTGTTAGTGTTAGCCCCCAATCTCAACTTTTGTACTTATATCCTATCTTAGTGTAGTTTGCACTTTGTGTTTGGTTGGATGTACACCCACATCCCAACCAGACCCAAATTTGATCACCAAGCAATCTCCAACCTACCAATTGGAGATTGCCCTGGGATTACCCTCAATCCCCTAGGATTGCCCCCGATTCCCTTCCCATCCATACCTTGCTCATTTCGGATGTACTTAAGGAGCTTCAAGCTCATTACTAATCTATCGATTCTAAGCTCAAGTTCTAACAATGTGATGTGATGTGATGTGATGTGATGTGATGCAATGCAATGCGATGCGAGGCGATGCGTACTGACGTGGTGTCATGTGATCTGATGCAATATGACGTGGTATCATGTCATGTCAGGTCAAGTCGCGATGTGACGTGACGTATTGTGATGTCATGTCATGTCATGTCATGTGATGTCATGTGTTATCATGTTATGTCATGTCATGTCATACCATGCCATGTTATGTCCTGTCGTGTTGTGGTGTGACCTGTCATGTGATGTGCACTTGGCGCAACTGTAGTATCCACATGCATGACATGGCCTTGGCCGTGGCCCTTCCGTCAGTAACGGACAGGTGGGCTGCGGAGGTCTTCTTTCCATCAACTGTAGTAACTGTAGTGTCCAGATGCGTGACATGGCCATGGCCATGGCCCCTCCGAGCGTGTTCCATCGGCTGTCGGATGTGCCACATGACCGTTCTTTCTGCACACCCTCTCGCATATCGCGCTGTGCTTCATCGTTGTTTCTGCCAGGTGTGTGTCACATCACATCACACACCCACGCCATTCTGGTAGGCAGCAGTGTCAGATCGATCACTGAACTGTGCTGTACGGGGCCCACTGTCATGCCTGGCAGGTGTGTGAGATGGCAACGAAGCACCACCCCAACCTGGTGCGCCTGCTGGGCTTTTCCCTTGGGATCTCTGGCAGGAGAAGGCCGGAGCAAATCCTCATCTACGAGCTCATGCCCAACGGGGACCTCTCGCAATGGATCGGAAAAGGTGTGCAATCTAACACGTGCACTGCCAAAATGCCCCCCACCTATCTGGCCTTGCAGGTGTGCCTCTTCATACAGGTCTCATTTTCTACTTCTCAGTATCTCCTCTCTCCACCCCTCCGTTCCCATCCCCTGCAGGGGCAGTGAAGCCCCTGAGCTTTGAGCAGCGTGTGAACGTGCTGGTGGGGGCGGCACGCGGCTTTGAGTATCTCCACAGCTTCGGCATCGTTCACCGCGACATCAAGCCCGCCAACATCCTGCTCGATCAGACCATGCAGGCATGTGCTGCAGGCATGCAGGGCTGTGTCGCCACCACGATTGTTGCAGCCAATCCTGTGCCGCATGCTCTCTTAAACTGGCATGCACACATGGGCCTATGTGTGTGCGTGTTGTCCCTAATGTGTGAGGGCAAGCTAAGAATTCTTGTATGCATGATCGCAGGTCAAGATCTCGGATTTCGGGTGTGTGAGGAAGGGAGGGGGCACCACAGCGCAGAGTACGAAAATGGTGGGAACACCAGGCTATGTAGACCTCTCTTATGCTTGGTCCAATAAGGCCACCACTGCCACTGATGTCTACAGGTGAGCATCAAACCCTGCATTTCTCCAGCTGGTTTCTTTCTGTCGTTGGGCACCTCTCATGCGTTCCTCTCCTCTCCTCTCCTCTCCTCTCCTCTCCTCTCCTCTCCTCTCCTCTCCTCACCTGTCCACGGGGTGTCGTGGTGTACATCTTTGGCATTCTCATGCTTGAGGTGATGACGGGCCGCCATGTCGCCACCAATTCTCTCGTTGTTCCCTCCGATGAAGAGGCGGGCCAACAACTGCACATTCTTTCTTGGGTAAGTCTGTGGGCATGGAGAGAGTACCGTCGTAACCCTCGTTTCCGCTCTTTATTCATTCTCTCATTCATCCGCGTGTCTTTTTTCACTACTTTATCCGCATACCTTTCCGTTGTTTCATCTGCAATCCTGTTTTGTGTGGCACCAGGTCCAGCAGCAGCTGGCTCAATATGGCGGCAGCGAGGCAGTGGCATGGCTAAAGGACGCGCGCATGGAGGCGCGGGATGAGTTGGTGTTGAGGGTGGTGCAGCTGGCACTGCGATGCACCGCCATGCCGACTGCCATGCGGCCGGCCATGACAGAGATTGCAGCCGAGCTGGATGCTGTGCTGGTGGAAGTGGGCGGCAAACGCATCAACTCCGCCGCCCATCAGGTGGATCAGGAAATGGAGTCGCAGAGCTTGTCTGCTCCGAGTTTAGATGCAGAGATCGATCGTGTAGCTAGCCACTTGTGATGGCGTGGAAGTAGCTGAGCTGGCTTTGAGTCGACTCAAAAGTCAGCTCGAGTTTGGATGCAGAGATGGATCGTGTAACTGGCCTCTTGTGATGGCATGGAAGCCGTAGGTGCATTCGCTGCTGCTGTTGCAAAGTTCCATGTTTCGTTGCCTACACCTTGGATTTATTGTGTACAGTATAAAAATGGCATGAAACTGGGAACTGTTTTTGGAAGTGTAGTGGACTATAGATGATGGTGGTGGTATCAATGTAGCATGTCAACTTAGCAGGCTCAAGTGGCTGTCAATTTGAAAGCTACCGTATGCACATGAGCTATATCGTGGGATGGGGGTATACCGAGTGGGTGTTAGTCCACAGAAAAGCTGGCATTGGCATCACACGGTGAAAATTTAGGTGGATATTAGTTGTGATAATGAGTCGTATGCATTCAAAACACTAAGATGGCATGTTCTGGAATGTGTAATGTGGAGTTGAATGTGTAAGTGCCTCAAGACTGATACAGCAGCACCACCATACCTTTTTCAAGTGAAGTAATGTTAAGGTAATTAGTCTTTCCTTGTTGACGCTTGTGAACCCAGCCTCAGCAATCAATTCTGTCAATAACGAGGACTGCTCTTCCGCCGACTTCCCCCATCCACAGCCCCAACCGTTTTGGCCGAAGCGTTTTCGTGACGATTCTCCTCTCTCTCCATACCCTCAGCTGAGCTCACTCACCCACCAGAGGTCATGGCTTTCCGCGGCACAGCCGTCACGCCGTCCTCCTGCCGCGATCCGCCTATTGCACGATTCTGCCCGCACGCGCAAGCAGACGTTACCCCCCTTCCGCCCCCGCCGTCGATTTGGCCTCGCGATCCGACGGCCCACCTCGACTCGTCCGATGCGCGTCTCGAGTCGCCCTCGCGTTTCAATTACGAAAATATCACAGCTTCCCCGTCGTCGAATCTTAGGGCTGGTTCCGAACCTGGTTTGTCTTTAGCGGGGGCGCATGGGGAAGGTTTGCCCCAATGCGCGCAGCCTGCCCCTGTAGCGCGGGACTCTTCTTCCGCCGTTTCCGCCGCCTGCAGTCTTGTTTGCGCGCATTGCGCCTCCATCCTCGTCCCTTGCCTCTGCTGCGCCGCGCTCCTTATTCCCCCCCCTCTGCCGTCCGCTTCCCTGGCTGCGTGCCGCGCAACCCCTCCCCGCCTGCGCGCCTGCGGGGAAAAGGCGGGGAAGGGAGCGGCTTGCGGCAATGGGGCGGCGCAGAAAGGTATTGGCGGAAACAGGGGGAGAGGCGGAGGTAGCGTTGGTGAATGCCGAGGGGTAGGAGGGCCGGGCGTGACAGAGGCAGCAAACGAATCAGGAGCAACAGGAGCAGCAGGGGGAGCGGCAGCTGCGGCGGCAACCCCGGCAGAGGCGGTGGTGACTGGTGAAGATGTGGGGGGTGGCGGGATAGGTTGCTCGCCACTTCCGCTGCCCCTGTCGCCCGTCAGTTCTCCGCACACAGTTGGGGGCAGCACGCAGCAGCGTAGTGATGGGTGCAGACATGGAGGTGAGAGATGCGAGGGAGGAGAGGGAGGAGAGGGAGGAGAGGGAGGAGAGGGAGAAGGAGCAGCAGAGCAAGGCATGGTAACAGCGGGCATGCGCTGTGGTCGCTGTGGCATTGCTCTGCTGCACCCCTTCTGGCACCCCACAAACCCATCTGCCGCCGCCGCTACTGCTTCTGCTGCTGTTGTTGCTGCTGCTGCTGCTCCTGCTGGCGCTGCTGGATCGAAGACTATCATTGATGCCAGCAATGTGAATAATGGTGGTGATTGCACTGCCTCTGCTGCCCCTGCTTGCACTGCCGCTGCTGCTCCTTCACATGCTGCTGCAGCAGCAGCTGTGGCAGCACCGCGTGCACATGTGTGGCCTGTGGGAGCATCGAGCAGCGCCTGGGTGGGAGAGCACCAATCACCGTGGGACAGCTGGCGCGATCTCCTTGGGGTTTGGCCGGCGCAAGAGCTTCCCCTTGCCGTGGTACTGGGTGGTACTGTGTGGTGCTGTGTCCTCTTTGATCAACAGTTTGTCTCACACAATTTTTCCCTTTTTGGATCCTAGATGCTTGTGTGTGTATCCAAGCACATCTGCTTCTCCTTCCTTCCGTTTCCTTCCATTTCCGTATCCATACACGTCCGTGTGTATGCCGATACGCTATACCCACCACGTGCCTACCATCAGCTGTCACGCATGCATGCCACCAACTGGAGCCGTCGCTCCTACCTGCTCCTCCTCACCTCATCCTACCGTGCCCTCTCCTCAAAGGTCCGCCGCTCCTCTCCCTCCCCCTTCTCCCCTCCCAGTTCGAACGTCCTTCGGATACTCGCTCTTCTGTTGCAATGCAAACTCTCATGCAACCCCCCCCCCTCTCCCCTCTCTTTGCTTTTCTGTTGCAATGCAAACTCTCATGGTGGTGATGTTCCTTGCGATTTCGTGCTGTGTGTGTGTGTGTGTGTGTGTGTGTGTGTGTTGCTCAGTCATGAGGTCCTGTGTGCAAGGCGTTGTCTTGTCTGTGTTGCCGCTCAGCTCAGCCCACACTCCTAAGGGCTCCTTGGCTGCGCTGTTTGCTGGGGGGGTGTGCTGGGCCCATCTTTGCTGCTGCTTGATGAGTCATGCAGCAGCAGCAGCAGCACTAACCTACCTGCCTTCCTCTGCTGCTTTTCCCTGTGCCAGCTTCGTGAGGGTATGCATCACTCCAACGCTCTTCAGCACTCTAATGCTCCTTCGCGCTCCAACGTCCCTCCTCCCACACGTGGCAACGACAGACACCACAGCGGCTGGCAGGTGGGGGGTGCGGAGACAGCAGGGGTGGCGAGAACTAGATTACTGGGGAGTGGAGAGCGGTGGAAGGGCCGTCAGGGTAATCCGCACGCGGAAAAGGATGGTGGAGGGAGGAAAGGTGGGGCAAAGAGTGGAGCAGGGGAGAAAGGTGGGGAGGGGGATGTGAGAGTGGAAGGGCAGGGTCTATCAAGTGAGCGAAGAGGAGCAGGGAGAGGGGGACGAGACTGTGTCCGGACAGGAGGAGGGGATGGACTGGAGGGGCGCGAGGGGAGTGGCGCAGGAGGGGAAGGGGGCGAAGGGGAGGGGAGGCAGGGGACTGACGATGGGGCACGAGCAGTGACACGAGGAGCTGATAGGACCCCCACTGCTGCTGCTGCTGGTGCTGCTGCTGGTTCTTCTGCTGCTCCTGGTGGTGTTGCTGCTTCTGGTGCTGGTCATAGTAATGGTGATGCAGATGGCGGTTGTGCTGCTGTTGCTGTAAGGCGCGCGGCCATGGGTGCAGGGAGGCAGATGAAGACATGTGAACGGGCGGCCAAGAGAGTGTGCTTCGGCACGCAGGTGCGGCAAGCAACGGATACATGACAAGGATGTTGTTTGTTCCGGCATGCTCGCCTCTTCCACCACCTCCAACATCTCCTCTCCTCTTCTCTCCTCTTCTCTCCTCTCCTCTCCTCTCCTCTCCTGTCCCCTCCCTGTCATACTTCAACCAATAGTTTCCTTCGTCGCCCCAAGCACTCTTACTCTCTGTTCATCCTCACTCTCCGTCTCCTCTCTTCTTTCCTCTCTACTCCCCTCACTCTGTTCACCATACCCCCTCACAACACCCACCAGGAACCCAAGGGCACCACAAACACAGCCACACGCCCTGCCCGCCAGTCCCTCACACCCACCCGTGCATCAACCAGCAAGGCAACGCACCCATCTCTATCCCCTCCTTCCAACACCATGCCTCCTCCTCGCACTCCCTCACTCCCTCTCCCCGTCTCTCCTGCTGCTGCTGCCACCCACGCCACCCCTCCCACACAGCCCTCCAGATTTCTCCATTCGTCCACGCCTTCCTCCCCTCAGCCTCCCTACACACAGCCCATGCGGCCGCACTCGTCTCTTCCCTCCCCTGCCCGTGAATTTTCTCCTCTGCCTCCTGCCCGTGCCGTAAACCCTCGCGGTGGTGCTGCTGGGACGATTAGGGGCTCTCAGCCCGGGCAGAACCAGGCTGCTTGTTCTCTGTCCCCAGCAGCAGCAGGAAGGGGAGGCGGAGGCGGAGCCAAGGCTGCAGCAGAAGCTGTTATGCCAGCAGCAGTATCGGAGACAGCAGAGATCGCAGAGAGAGCAGGAGAAAGAGGGGCAGGTGGAAAGACGCATTTGTCAGTGGAGAGAGGGAAGGGGCAAGGGGCGAGAGGCAGTGTGGATGCAGGTGACAGAAAGCGGAAGGCGAAGGAGAAAGGCAAGCAAGGCAAATCTAGGCAGGTGGCAGAGCCAGAGGCAGAGGCTAGTAAAAAGCGACGTGGGAAAGGTGCTGCTGCGGCAGTGGATCATGCTGCTGCTGCTGCTGCTGCTGCTCGCACTGCGGGCACTGACCATGAGCGAGTGACAGGTGCAGTCACGACAGGAACGACTGCTGTTCTTGCTGATTGTGATGGTAGTGGTGGTGGTGGTGGTGCTGCTGCTGCTCCCGCTGCTGCTACTGGTGCTACTGGTGCTAACGGTAGCAGCAGAGGCAGGGAGAGGATCAATCAGGGTGGCGAGAAGAATGAAGTAAGGAATCGGAGTGGAGTCCGTGCACCCAGCAGCACTAACCATCCCAACGCCATACCTGCACCCACACCTGCTACAACCACCAGCACGCACGACATGGAACCCCACTCTCCACGCCTGCGTCTCATCCACATGCGAGCAGCCCTGCTGCAGCAGCAATGCTCCTCCACTCTTGCTCTAGAGCTCTCTTCTTCCTCCTCCTCCTCACTCCTCTCCTCCCCGACCCTTCCCGCTTGCTCCCCTTCCTGCTCCTACCGACCCTCCGGCCGAGCCTATGCGGCCATGCGCACTGCCCGGACCTCGCTAGCAAGTTCGGGTTGGAATTGGGAAGGTGGAGGAGGAGGGGGAGGGGCCTTTGGGTTCGGAACCTTGCACGTGAATATGCTGCGGATGTCACTTGAAGTGCTTGGAAGTGGGGACTGTTGTGAGGCAGAGAAGTGCACGGGGAAACGAGGAAGCAGGGGAGAAGAGGGTGGAGATGGTTGTTTTGGTGATTTCGATTGTCATCGTGCTGCTAGCAAGAGGGTTAGTGATGGTAACGGTGCTGGTGGTGGTTTCAGTGTTGGTGGTGACAACCGTGTCGGTGAGATTGATGAGCAAACACGGGTAAGTACTGATCTGGAGAAGCAGCTGCCAAGTACAGAGGCTGGATGGCAAGCAGGCAGTGAATGCATCTCTATCAGTGCCTTAACGAAGCTGGTGGTGGGTGGCATTTCTCGTCTCGTAGTGAGGCAGAGAGCACCGCGTGTGGATGCGCAGAGGAGGCTGGAGATGAGTGACGTGGCACGGCAGCTGCAGGAGGACCTAGGGACTGTCGCCAGGACATCAGCTGTCGCTAATGCTCCTGCTCCTGCTGGTATTGTTGCTACTGCTCGCACCACTGCCTGTGCACCCAGTGCTGATGCTGGGACGTTGGAAAGAAGTGAGGACGGAACTAGGGCTGGATATAACCCTTGCACCCCTGCAACTCCTGCACCAACATATGATACCCTCTGCAGAGGCTATCTGCTGCATAGTGGAAGTGGTTTGGGTGTAGGTGTTGGGGGATGCGGAAGGGCAGCGGGGGCAGCAGGGGCAGCAGGGCAACAGAAAAGGGTGCGGTTTCTGGATGGTCTGGGGGGAAGTGGCATAGGAGAGAGCACTCCTGAGGCAGATGGTGGTGGTACCTGGCCTGGAGGAGGGGGCGAGAGGAGTCTACCTCTCTCATTCCTCCATGCCAGACTGATTCAGCACACTAGCCAGTGCAGCAGGAGGAGCAGCCAAGAGGGCACGGAACTGGGATGTGCTTTAGGAGAAGATGTTCGCCCTGGTCCAGCCGTGCAGATGCCGCAGCCCACTGATCCTTCCTCCTCCCACCCTCACCATGCACCTCTGACCTCCCATCCACAGTGCCTCACCGCCACCGGTTCCCACACTCTCCCTTCTCTGTCCTCCCCTCCGCAACCAACCTTGCTTCTGCGCCAGCAGGTCAACTCCTTGTTGCGCCTTCTGCATGACCTCGCCTTTACACTTGCATGCCCACCCCCACTCGCACCCCTTGCACCCCTCGCTTTCCAAACTGCTCATCGTGCCTCTCATCAAGGCCCCGCGGTCTCCCTCGTCTCAATCCCCAACCCCACTCGCACGCACCTGCAGCAGATTCCTTTCAGGGGCTCAGGGCCACAAGCCTGCCCAGAGTCTGGCTGGGCGATGGGAATGGGAATTGGCATGGGCATGGGCATGGGCATGGGCATGGGAAGGGATGGCTGGGGTGATAAGGGGCTCGGGGGAATGGAGGAGTATGGGAGGGAGGGTTTTGTGGACGAGTTAATGGAGGAGAGCCCGAGTGTGAGTGAGAGGAGGGAGGCTGTACAGCTGTCGCACCATCTGTTGGTGCTAGCATACCATGAGCTTGCTCATCTTGATTCTCTCATTTGAAGTGTGAGGTGCACGATGTGCCTCTGTAGAATAATGACTACGGCAGCTGGTTGGCTTTTCATGGTAGAATAATGGCTTGTGTTTGGTCACTCTAGTCTAGTTGATACATGCGTGCTCCCTTGTTTCGTAAGAAACACATCTGTGAACTGCGTAGCGGATCTCAAATATACCGTACCGTACCACAACCATGGCACTGCACTTTTGGGTGGCAGGTGCAGGATGGGGGAGGAGGATGGGGATCGGATTCTATTGGATATGGTAAGCATGTTTCTCGTACGATACCAGTGTAACGATCTCAATTGTGGGAAGCACGTACTGGTAGGTAGAACAACGAGACGAGACCAAGCGCGTGCAAGAAACAAGAAACCCTACCGGTGCCGTACTTCCTGTACTAAGTCTGGTTCCAATGTCAACTCCAGGTTGAATGTGCAAACAGCTTGTGAAGCAGTCAGCGTGCTTGCTATGATGCAGCGGCATGCTGTCCGTTCACTTTGTCGGCAAGCAATGCATCCAGAAGAGCAAAATCTGCATCCAGATCTCTGGCTGGCTCCCTCTGCGACTCCATCTGCTGGTCCACCTGCCGGGCGGCGGAGTTGCTACGAGCGCCGCCCAGCGCCACCAGCACGGCCTCCAGCTCGGCTGCAATCACCCCCATGGCCGGCCGCATGGCGCTCTGCTTGTCGGTGCATCGCAGTGCCAGCTGCACCACCCTCAACACTAACTCATCCCGCGCCTCCATGCGTGGGTCCTTGAGGCCTGCCCCCACCCCCCTGTTGCTGCCGGATTGCGCCAGCTGCTGCTGGACCTGGTGCCACACACAAAAAGGAATGAGACACGGAAGAGGTTGGATGATGGATGAGAGGTTGTGATGCCAGCTGCTGGTGGACCTGTTGTGGAACGAACAGGTTTGAGGATGGAACGATGGCACGGAAGATCACATGTCTTGTGATGGGAATTTTGTGATGGAGAGCTTGCAAATGGAGAGCGGAAGCATGTCAAGGGCAGCTTTGTCCTCTTGTGGGATGTGGTGGACGCACCCATTCTAGAAGGTGCAGTTGCTGATCCGCTTCTTTCTCGGACGGAATGACCAGCGAATTGGTGGTGACGTGGCGGCCCGTCATGAGCTCAAGCATGAGAATGCCGAAGCTGCACACCACGACAGCACGTGGACGGGTGAGGAGATGAAAGGAGAGGAGAGGAGAGGAGAGGACAGGAGAGGAAATCATGAGACGCACCCTACAGCGTAAAGAAACCAAAGAAAGGAATTACACTCGTCTCCCAAGGCCATGCTCACCTGTACACATCCGTGGCTGTGGTGGCCTTTTTGGATGAGGAATACAATGGGTCCACATAGCCCGGTGTTCCCACCACTCGCGTGCTCTGCACTGCCGTGCCCTCTCCCTTCCTCACAAGCCCAAAGTCTGAAATCTTAGCCTGCAATCAAACACCAAGTAGAACAGGCTCATATGACCATGTGTGCATGCTTGTTCATAGGAGAGTATTTGGCACAAGATTGGCTGCAACGAGCGTGGTAGCGATGTAGCCGGGCTTGCCTGCATGTGGTGGTCGAGCCCACTTGCCTGCATGGTTTGGTCGAGCCCACTTGCCTGCATGGTTTGGTCGAGGAGGATGTTGGCGGGCTTGATATCGCGGTGCACGATGCCGAAGCTGTGGAGATACTCAAAGCCGCGTGCCGCCCCCACCAGCACGTCCACGCGCTGCTCAAAGCTCAGTGGCAACTCTGCCTCTGGATGGGCCAGCGCATAGGGATGGTGGGAGAGTGGGGTGCGGAGAACAGAGGAAGTTGTGATCTGGAGAGGCGAAGATGATTGCAGAAGCAGTAGATCTAGGGTCATAGTACACCGTTTGGGCTGTTATCGACATCACTGTAATTCAGCTCATATTTGTGTTGATTGTACGAAACTTGCATATACACATACGCTCATGCACGGTATCAGGAGTAAGTGTGTTACATACCCGTGTGGTTGGTACTAAGAGTAAGTGCGTTTTACCTGTATGGTTGGTACTAAGTGTAAATATGTCACTTACCCTTGTGGTTGGTGCTAAGACTATGTGCATTACTTACCCGTATGGACGGTACTAATAGTAATTGCGTTACTTGCCTTGTGGTTGATATTAAGAGTGTGTGTGTTACTTCTTCGTACGGTTGGTACTAAGAGTAAGTGTGTTACTTACCCGTGTAGTTGGTACTAAGAGTAACTGCGTTATTTTCTAATATGGATGGTACTAAGGATTAGTGCGTTACTTACCTGTATGATAGGTACTAAGAGTAAGTGTTTTACTTATCCATATGGTTATTACTAGATTAAGTGTGTTACTTACTCGTATGGTTGGTACTAAAAGGATGTGCATTACTTACCTGTATGGTTGGTACTAAGAGTAATTGCGTTATTTGGTATCAAGCGTAAGTGCATTACTTACCCGTATGGATGGTACTAGGAGTAAGTGCGCTATTTGTCCGTGTAGCTGGTACTAAGAGTAAGTGCGTGATTTACCCGTGTGGTTGGTACTAAGTTTAAGTGCGTTACTTACCAGTATGATTGGTACTTAGAGCACACCCACAAACGAATGCACGTGCGCGCACAAGCGTGCGCACACACAAACACAAACACACAAAGCATAATGTGTTTGCACATTCTTTCGCGAACCTCACTTTCTTGTCGCGCAAGCTTACCAATTCCTGGATTGCTTGTAAAACCAGCCCATGTAAGGGGACCAACCTATGATAAAAACATACCTTTCCCGATCCATTGCGAGAGGTCCTTGTTGGGCATGAGTTCGTAGATGAGGATTTGCTCGACCCTTGTCTTATCGGTAATCCCAATGGCGAAGCCGAGCAGTCGCACCAGGTTGGGGTGATGCTTCGTTGCCATCTCACACACCTGCCAGGCCAAATGGTGGGGGCAAATAAACACAACTCATTTATATTAATGACACTGCTTCTCGACCATCTCACACACCTGTCAGGCATGGACATTTGTCAGAAGTATGTCATGCATGACAACGTTCTCAAAGTTGAAAGGCGTGCTCATGTACCCCAGTACAGAACTTGGGATGCCCAAAATCCTTCAACCACAGATAGGAATTTTCAACCAATCTAATTGATGACTGTCTTGATTAAGTTTTCTATCCGTTCATTGATCCGCTTCGAGCGTCCAAGTCAACAATGTAGTCCTTCCGTATAACTAAAAGTCCTTATAGTACATGCAATGCATTATTATATGACACCCTTTCTAACTCTTCCTTACTTCTTATTCTACAGTGTAAGCCAATGCATGTTGGCACCACACCAAACCACATCACGCTCACACACCTCGGTGTCAAAGTCGTTGGTGATGACCTTGGCTCGCTTCACGGCCCGCGGCGTGGCATCATCAGTCGGAGAGACGCCACGGTACACGTCACCATACGCCCCCATGCCAAGAATGTTGTCCTCGGACCACCCGTTGGTGGCTTTCACCACCGCCGCCAGTGAATACTCCTGACACACCTGCGCTGCCGCCTTGCTGCTCACCAGCGCTGTGAATTGCAGCAGGTTTTGGGAGGCACAGGGAGGCAGTGGATGTGATTCAGAGTGAATGACGCGATGTTGGGGCGAGCACCCATTTGAAGTTACAAGGTGCAAGCATTTTCCTACCACCTGCCATGTTTGTGACACAAGCGGTTGCCTACACCTGCCCTGCCCTCTCATCTGTGTTTGGTACACAGCGAGGTGCAGCGCACAGCATTGCTGAGAAAAAAAAAGGCTTCCAAGCTTACATTTGTTGAAGTAGTAGTAGTATAGGATGACAGCGGTGGCTGCAGCAACAGCAACTACAGCAACGACGATCAGAACGATGGCCCACGTGGGAAATCCTGAAGCGGCCGTGCTTTCCACAGACGGTACCGGTGACAGCACTGCTGGTGCGGGCTTGGGTTTGTCACCTGCACACAGAGAGAAAGCTCGAACGTAAGAGGTAGGACTGTCAAGTAGCCATGTTGACCTGATTGTGAACAGCTTGAGCTGAGATGCTTTGGCCACGTGATCCGATTGTGATGATAGGACAATTTGAGACGTCTCAAAACACTTCTTCAAACACGATTGTGATGATAGGACAATTTGAGACGTCTCAAAACACTTCTTCAAACACGATTGTGATGATAGGACAATTTGAGACGTCTCAAAACACTTCTTCAAACACGATTGTGATGATAGGACAATTTGAGACGTCTCAAAACACTTCTTCAAACACGATTGTGATGATAGGACAATTTGAGACGTCACTTCTTCAAACACGATTGTGATGATAGGACAATTTGAGACGTCTCAAAACACTTCTTCAAACACGATTGTGATGATAGGACAATGCCCAAAAGCAGGTGATGTGATAAAAAGCATACACTTTCGGAGGCATTGTGTGAGTCGCATCAAGGAAGCTGCTGAAAAAAGGAAGAGATTTGGAGTAACAATAGCACCAAATCAAGCCGCTGAAAGACATGCTTGCTTTTACTCGAACTTCTCACATGTAGCGCAGAAGTCAGGGCAGGTGCGGCAGAAGCCAGAGGACGCATTCTGAGGCACACCGCAGCTGGTGTAGTTGTCAGGGCACTTGAGACCACTGGTGTTGGTCGCAGATCTGATGGGCGCAGGAGAAGGGGGAACAACAACAAGGGGTGCAGTGGAGAGTGGACATTCACACCACGAGGATAAAGGGAGAGACCCTTAGCACTGCCTGCACTCCTCCCATTGAGTGTATTCCACGAAAGCCTCTTCAGTAAATGCTTCCTTTGCAGCCCGTCAACTGCACGGAACCAGTAACTCGCACAAGCGGAAATGGGTGGTGCCATAGAGGCGTGGACCGCTCATCTCGTCCCCTTCAGGCTGCAGTCATTTGGATACCTAGCAATCAACCGGGGACCTTCGTGAGAAGTCTCCTGTGCCCATATACCTTGTTGTTTGCATAAGAACTTCTCTTCTTAAAACGCCTTATGCCTAACCAGAGGTTTGCACGTAGCAGCCTATCAATCGGTAACGTGGATGTGGACTCAAACAATAACGCCTACCAAGTTAGCAGCATCCCCATTGGCCCTACTTAGTTAGAAAGTGTGTTTTCTCCATCCCTTGTTTCTATAAATTCCCTTTCTTAAAAGGATCACAATTTTCTTAAGACGAAGGCTAATATTTCAGTGTTATTTGCATGCACTTACAGAGTTGAGAGCTTGCTCATATTTCCAAGGATCCGTGGAATGGTACCGACCATGTAGTTGAAATCGACAGTTCTGTGCCAGTCACGCGCCAACCAGAAAGCAGATGGTCAACTGTGCTTTGCATGTGGGCCAATGCAGCAGCACAACCAGCGAGGCAAGCAAACTGTGAGTATTACAGGGACGAGCGCTGAGAGCGCGATCAAGAGGAGCTTGTGACTGCTACAAGCTACTCCCTCACATGCTGGTGTGTGAATGGGGACGTCCTCAGGCAACGATAATAGAAATGACATCAAGATGTACAGTATTCGCAATGTCAGCAGTACAGAAAAATCCGCGTGCTTGCCTATAAAACCCTGCAACTTTGGATGGAAACATGGGATGGGCAGTGATGTAAGAAAGAAACTCACAGGCTGACCAAGTTGCTCATGGACGTGAGAGATTCAGGGAAATTTCCGGTCAGTTGGTTGTTGGAGAGATTTCTGAAGGCGAACAAAAGCGGAAAGGAGGCCGGAAAGGAGGAAAGCGGAAGTGCAGATGACGGGTGTGGGCAAAGGGATTCTGGTTACAAGACGATGTGAAGGCTGCTTTGCTTGTTGAGTGTGTGAACTTGGGGCAGGCAAGGTGCAGCAGGATATGGCGGCACAATAGTAGGAGCAGTGGTGGTTGAAGTTTCACATACTATGCGCCGTGCGCAGAACAAATCTTGCATGGCAGAGATTGCTTTGGTGTGGAACAAGAAGAGAGGGTTGGATGGGTGGGTTTTGAGGGAGGGGGAGGGGCAACCGCACAGCAGTGGCAGGAGTACAGCACTAGATGCACTGAATGGTATCCAACATCCATACTGGAGTTGCTCCTACGAAAAATAAAAAAAAACTCCAATGTAGATGTGTTGAACATCCCCAAGAACACGCACAGGAACCGCAAGTTGGGTAAGCCCGCCAATGCCTGAAGCAGAGTCTTGCCCTGGAATGCGTTGGCAGACAGATCGCTGGCCTTTAATGCCATGATACCATGATGCCATGATGCCATGATGCCATGATGCCATGATGCCATCATGTCATCATGCCAGATGTCATGATGTCATGATGTCATGATGCCGTGATGAAGTGATGCCATCCCCACTCACCAGCAAACGTTTGCGCCACAGTAAGGCATATGAGGAGGCAGCACAGGATTGAAATGGAGAGACAGTCAGAGCGAGGTCACACAGAATGCGAGTCATGACACAGACGCGCGCAATGAATGTGCACAGTGGTGTGGACTCTTGAGGCGGCCCAAGAGACAGGCACGCAACAAATGTGCAAAGTTTGGAACGCATAGAGGCATGTCGCAGCGCATGCTACGCCAGCGCGCATGGTGCGCGTGTGTGCATATCTGTCAAGCCACCTGCTTATTATGTGCATGATGGTCACGAGCACGATGGCCTTTTATTTTTTTTGAGACGTCTCAAAAATCTACTTTCTACAGATGGTCACGAGCACGATGGTCACGAGCACGAGTAATTGCATTGCGAGCCATGGACGGAGCACACTATCATGTGTGCTGAATGCGAGCTGGTGGGTGGGATGGGGTATTATCATGTATGCATGCGTAGATGAGATTGACTGACAGCGTTGTGAGACTTGTGAGACTTGTCAGCTCTGTCATCTTTTCAGACGTGAGTAGGTTGGAACTCAGATTCCTGCCATATAGCCGTTTGAGAGAGCACACCAGGAGAATGAGGATGAGGATGAGGATGGGGATGGGTATGGGGATGGGGATGGGAATGGGGATGGGGATGGGAATGGGGATGGAGATGGGAATGGGGATGGGAATGGGGATGGGAATGGGGATGGGAATGGGGATGAGGATGAGAATGGGGATGAGGATGAGGATGTGGGCAAGCAAATGACTACGGAATGGAACAAGCCATATTTAGAGCGAGAAGGAGCAGGAGCAGGAAAAAGAAAACAGAGTTCGTGACAGTTAGAAAGCGATGATTTATATTCTGCTACAGATGGTGTCCGCGGGTGCTAAAATTGACGCCATACAGTATTGTCCAACGTATGTCTAAAGGCGTCCCAATCAGGGTGCTCGGTCCTAGCAAACAGAAGATACATACAGCTTCATGAGACGAGTGTGTTTCACGTAATTAAGAGGCCACACTGACAGCATCCCGTTAGACGAAAGCTCTCTGGGGCCAATAACGTTGGTGGTTAGAAAGAATCACACAGAAAGAAAGAGAGAAAGAAAAGAAAAGGGTAAGCCCTCTTGCCTCTGCCCTTTGATAAAAGTGCTGTTTTGAGACGTCTCAAAAGAAAAGGGTAAGCCCTCTTGCCTCTGCCCTTTGATAAAAGTGCTGTTTTGAGACGTCTCAAAAGAAAAGGGTTAGCCTTCTTGCCTCTGCCCTTTTGCCCTCTGCTGTCTCGTCTACATAAAGCCTCTAGGGCCCTTCATTTCTCATGCCCCCCTTTATGTGTGGTTTCATTTTCGGAGGCTCACACGATAGCAGGCAAGCCAACACGCGCTTGAAGAGCAGAATAAAACCTTGGATAAAAACAGGAACTATCATGCAAGATTCAGCTAAGTGTAGCGAGGTTGTTTTTGAGACGTCTCAAAAACAAACAGGAACTATCATGCAAGATTCAGCTACGTGTAGCGAGGTTGTTTTTGAGACGTCTCAAAAACAAACAGGAACTATCATGCAAGATTCAGCTCGGTTGCTTCACCTGTTATAGCCGCCCACAGACCAGTAGGGTTGTGGGGCCGCTTGTGTTTCAATTCGTATCTAGTTATGCACCTACCTACCATGTATGTGACACCCGCACATCAAGAATGTGGGAAACCAGTAGTGGGTGCGGAGAAGGGGCGTGGGGAATGGAGTGGAGAAGGGGCGTGCGTAAGGGGCATAGAGCTTACAAATCCACGAGCCTAGTGATCTGGGTCAACTCAGCTATCGCGGTTTCAAAGCCACAATTGCTCATTTTCCTGACGACAAAGTAAGAGACGAAGAGGAAAGAAGACGCATTTTCCAATGACTGCCAAAGATGACATGACATGACATGACATGCCATGTGTGGTGCCGCACAAAATCATGACCAACACCATGAGCAACACCATGAGCAACACCATGTGCGTGCCATGCGCTCAATAGGCAGTTGTGCATGCATGGGGGGGGGGGGGTGCTTACAACTGGGTGAGTTGAGCGATTCTGGTCAACTCTGAAGGGATGCTCTCTGCTGCTCCCGTCTGGCACTCCACCAACCTGCTTGATTGAAACCAGAACCAGGCATACAGTGCATCAGTGTAGATGTGAGTCCGTGCGTACAACCAATAAATTCCTTTGAACACCCATGCCAGGGAAGGAGCGAACCGAATGCAAAGTAGAAACATGCGAGAGGCAAGAGCACGCACGCACACACGCACGCACGCACGCACAGGCGCACACACGCACGCACTCTCGCGCGCGCACGCATGCACATGCACACGCACGCATGCAACCCCCCCCCCCCCCCCCCCCCACACACACACACACAAGAAACGAATACAAGAGAACGCGGAGCAGAGAGGAGCCAGGGAGCATATGTGTCCCATCCAGCTGCAACATGGTGAAACGGGCAGCAGCAAGAAAGAGGTTTCGGGTTTTAGTTTAGATGACACTCACAGAGACTTGAGCCACGTGACGTCGTAGACTGTGAACAATGGTACGTGCTCCATCCCCTTGACCTCCCTTCATTGGATAAAAACGGATGCCGAGGAAGCAGAAAAAGGAGGCAGGACAATGCCACGGGGGCTTATGCGGATCCACCATCGCAGAATTGTTGGGTAAACGAGTGGCTAGAACCTTTTTATCGATGTGACATCCATGAATGATAAGTAGAAGGCTAACTAAGGACCAGAACTAGGAGGAGAAAAAGAGGGGGGAACGGGAGAGAAGGGGGGAGGAGGGTGGGTGCGGGTGGGTGGGCGGCGGTGGGAAGAGCAGGGGAATGGGGGCCGACAATCTAAAAGTGATGTGCGTGTGTGTGTGCCACTGAAGGGCTCCAACTTTGGCCCAATTCGAGCACATTAACAGGGAGGCCAGCCAGGCTACAAAGCGGATTCTTTAGTCAAAGAAAAAAGGCTCAGTGCAGGCCACAGAGCGGACCAACACTGGCCCACCCACCAGGCTGGCTAAAGGCTGGCCTGGCCCTGGGCCATAGCGCACAATAGCATGGCGAACCTTGCCTGGCCAGCCTGAAACTCGGACCAGCCACCGGTTTTACCAACGCTCATGTGGTCATGAAGTGAAGCCAGCAAGCCAGATGCAAATTGCCTAACCCAAACTGTTAGTTAAACCTGCAGCACAGTCATACCCAGCGTCTTCCTGGGTAGCGGCGTTGTAGCAGGAGCAAAACGGAGAGTAAACGCGCACACCCTTACAGCTTTGTCAAGCGAGTTAGCAATACAAGAGTATCTCGAGGAAAAACAGCCTGCGTGGTTGTGTTGATGAACCTGCAGAGACATAGCAAAATATGTAGGATGGGAGGTATATTCATGTGGCACGGGATCAACACCAGTGCACGGCACGCAGCAGCATGGCGTCGCACAGCAGACAGCACAGCACAGCACAGCACAGCACAGCACAGCACAGCACAGCACAGCACAGCACAGCCCAGCCCAGCCCAGCCCAGCCCAGCACAGCACAGCACAGCACAGCAGACAGCACAGCACAGCACAGCACAGCCCAGCACAGCCCAGCACAGCACAGCACAGCACATCACAGCACAGCGCATTCCCCGTAGTAACTGCGCACAGCGCAACAGGGGACAGCAGCATTGGATGAATCAGCACGGAACGGCACAGGTTATCAGGGGCGCGCACACACAGCAGAGCAGGGCGCGGACGCACATGGAGGTGATCATGCCGTCTCGATCGCATGTGAGGCCTTGCGCTCGCTTGCAGTCGCTCCCCGCCCGCCAGCTTGTAACGTTCATGCTCCAATACTTCTGCAGCTCCTGCAGCGCATCAGCTGCGGGCGGCAAACCGGCAGGCAGCAACAGTGCAGCTGGTAGTAAGTAATTGAGGCATTGAGGCATTGAGGCATGGAGGCATGGAGGCATGGAGGCATTGACGAGGATCACATCATAACAGCCAGGCTGCGGCAGCGCTATTTGGCGCGCACTACCCCCTCTCAGGGATGAAGTTACAGCCAGCTAGCTTCTTAACAGCTTCTCAGGAAGTGTGGGAAAGGCTTGGAAAACTGGGAGGCTGTCCGTTTGCCCCCCTGGCGTGGCGGCATAGGGAAGGTGCTGCGCATGCGGCCCGTAAGGGAACGGTTCGCCTTGTGCATGGAGAGAGGGTGTGTCTAGTAATAGTTCGCTATGGCTCGGCACAGCAACCGCCTTGGAAGCTAACTTATATAGTAGTAACGCTCAGCCAAAAAAGTGGACCTGCTAAAAAATGTCACCACAAACTCGCCCAGTAACCTGTTCCCGCTTTCCGAAATTCGTCGTCCATTCCACTGGGGTTCAGGTGTTCGCAAGAGGTTCCAGTGAAAGAACCTCACAGCATTTGGGTGCGCATTGCGATAAGTTGTAGGTTGGATTGCGGAAAGTTGCTGTCGGTTTTCTTCAGAGAGGTAACAACGGCGCTAAACGGCGGTGACCACGCCGAGGGCGAGTTTTGGCCCCAAGCCGATAAATGAGACGCTATACTACTATTACCTACTACTAGTACTACTAGTGGTACTACTACTATCATAGTATCGCTGCTGCTACTGCTACTACTACCACGGTTCGACGGGTCATCGCACCTTGCGATTTCGCGAGACGCTGTGCGAGCGACGCGCACGGCAGATAGCCTGAGACCGCGAGCGCCGCAACAAACGCCTCTTAGGATCGTCAACGCCTTAGTCAGCAATAGTGTACTTGCTATTGCTTATCATGTTCTCCACGATCTCCCGAATCCAACGATATCCTCAATCATGTTCTCACACCCTCTACTTGAAGTTGTCAAAACAAACTTCAGCAATTTTCACTATCTCCAACATCAATGTTGTAATTTCCAGAATGAGTACAAGCAGTTTTTTAGGCAAGCAAGACACAAAATGTGATTCGTATCTTCACTTGTTTCCCAAGTAACCGCGTGCGCCTCGTTTCACCCCGGATCGCACACAGAGTCGAACCGAATTCGGTGAACACTCCTCAAGTCCGAATCCAGCACCTTCTAGAACACGCCTCGAGCTCGAACCACATTTTCCCCGTCGATCTCATTCTCGCTTCTCCTTCTCTCTCCTAGCACATTTCTTCCCGATTTCTCTCTCGCTTCTCACGCCTTAGCTTCCAATGTCCACCGTAGGCCTAATTCCACCGTTTCATTCACGAATCATCTACGCGCTTCCATTTCGCCATCATTCCGCCGTCGTAGAGACTTTCACTGTAGGTTCCGTGGTTGGGCGAACCAACCCTAACAATCTCCCCTGTGGTTCGTCAACCACGAACACCACTCGCACTGCTCCCCTGCTCCTCGTAGCCTTCACAGGTTCGGCTTCACGCTCCCCTGCAGCTCCTGCACCTTGAACCTCTGCTTACGTGTCTTGAAGTTGAGCGCCTTGACGTCCAAGCCATGAGACATTGTCTTAAGCTTCTCACTTCTCCTCGGCGTCACAACACCCAACAACTCTAGAGCAGGGCCTCAGAAGTCAGCGAAAAAAGGCTGATTTAGGTAAAAAAGGCTGAGATTTCAGACTTCGTTTAGAACCAGGGCTGATTTTTCAGCAATTTTTTGGAAAAAAACAGGAAAAACTATGAATTTTATTGTGTGAAATGACATAAAATGGCTAATTGATCTGATTTTCAGCATACTTTTTTGTACCAACTCTGATTGTTCAGCCTAGCCCAAAACCAATCTGAGGCCCTGCTCTAGAGTCTATGTCAAGAATAGAAGTATTGGTTCATTGATGTGGGTTGGGGTACATATAACAAACCCTAACATTTGTACCCCCTAAGACAAACCTCACTACAGGCTACAACATCTGACACACCCCCATAGCCTAAGTGAGGGGTGTCAAGCAAAACCAAAAGTGTACGGTCACAAGACCAGTCACAAAGAAACAAAGCTCAGGGTGGATCACAACGTCACCACACACTCTGAGCACAAGCAACAGGGGCCACAAGGCCAGTTCGAGAGTTCACAAGTGTGTATAGCAAGAGTACAAACAAAGCAAACAGTAGACTCAAGCCTATATATGACTAGAAACTGTGTCAACAACAGGGCCCAAAATTGGTCTAGGCCCACCCTGTCGAACCAGAGTTGAGTCCCGTCTCACCCTGACCCTCTAGGGTAAAATTTTCGCTAGGCTGACGAATACAGTGTAAAATTTTTCCCAGCCTGTTGGCGTCAGTGTAACTATTTCCTAAGACTGATTTCCAGGGTACTATTTTCGTTAGACTGACAGTACTCCAATACAGCAAGCGTTGACTAATTAATTATACTTATAAATGGCAATGCTGCTCTCACATGCAGTATTCACTTCATTCAGTACTTGGCAAGCTACTCTGCAAACCATCACTATCGCCCACAAACTGGGTGTCGCTCTGCCTGGTCCCATTGAAGTCAGTGGTGGGGCGCCTAAGCTTCTCCCCCCTGAAAATCGCCACCACCTCAAACCAGTCAATTTCGTACTGGAGCAAGGAGCAGCGCATGAGATAGTCTAGGCTGCTGTCAGAGAGGCTGCCGCGGTCCCAGGTTTTGATCAAATTCTGCTTGCTGAAGCCTCTCTCACACTCGACAGTGCTGAGAGGCAGGACCGCTACTGCTTGCCAGAGCAGCATGATGTTGGGGAAGGACTGCTGCCACGAATCATCGCGCAACATGTTGGCAAGAGCTTGGTGGAAGTCTTCATTGTGGTGCTGCGAAAACATGGTGCTCGTGAACATCCACAACTCGGCCCGCGCTTTGCTGTAGTTGAACCCTGTTGATCGGGGAGGATAGCACAATATGAAACTCGAAGAGGGCGGGAGGAGAGGGCGGTTTTAAACCAAACAGCCGAGGAAACAACACAGTACGACAGCACTAGACCCCACACTACCAATCACTCAAGAATTTCAGCAACCACAAACAATTTCCAGGCATGGTACGGATTTCCTACTAGGGAGTGCATTGTGGTAGAGCTTGTGGAGTTGCTGCAACCATCGTTTGAAGGCAGCGAGCCGCTTGTCATCGTCTGGAAGGTATGAAGCTGTATCAAACAGCTTCGCGCCTTCCAGGTTCTTGAAGTCACGATACCGCCACTCCAGCTCCTCGTCCACAGCGCGCACGAACTTCAGCGACAGTTCGTAGCAGGCAGCCACAAGGCCTGGAGTTTCCTTCCCCTCAGAGTCATGTTCGTGCAGGTCGAATTTTAAGGTGACCGGATTTCCCTCGCCATCAACCCCTTCAGCCTTCATCTCCCGCTTCTCCTTCGATTGGTGCTTCTTGATGAACTCTGGAAGGCGCATCCTCTCCCCGCTCCCGAACTGGTCGCCTTGGTGATTGCTGTTGTAGCGAGCCATCAGTCGCATCCGCGTCTGCTCGACGAGACGGCCCACCAGTGTGATGTCGATCTGTAAATGCTCAACACACTGTGTCAGGACGGGTGAACTACTACATGTCAACAAATTGCAAAGAGAGAAATCACATCATACCTTCCTCTGCTGGAATCGCAAGTTGAGCGAGTTGAGCTCCGACAGCACATCCACCAAAAACCGAAGGAGCCAGTGGAATTTGAACGAGGTGACCACCTCGTACAAATCCTAGCGGTACTCCTTCAGCAAGACAATAGCAGCAGGTAACACGTCCAGCAGGCGCTCCAGTGCCTCCCCTCGTGACAACCAGCGCGCGTCGAAAATACCTTGCGCCTCGAGGTTAGTCTTGCAAAACACCTGCTGCAGATTCTGGAACTTTTGGTACTTGACACCACTTTGCCCAAGTATGTTTGAGAATGCGCGGACCACCTCGTCCACCATGCTCAACTCCGGGACCGCTTCAGCTGCGTCCTTGGCGGCAAGCGCCTCCCTGCCACAAGGTAAACAACGACGTTAGTCAGATGAGCACAAGGATTAAGCACACCGCGGTGTTTATTTACCATGCAACCTACCGATGTGCGATGCAGTGCGTTGAAACAAGATGTGGAATCCGTGATCTCAGACGGGTCGCGACGCCAGAGTTCTGCCCTGCCATGACACTGGCCCCGTCCGTTGAGAGTGCAATGATTTTCTGCAAATCAAGTCCAATTTGCGTCAGATACAGCACGAGAACAGACGTCAGCGATGCAGCGTCACAACGGTCAACAGTGAGCAGCGTGATGAACTCGGTTACCACCTCCCTAGCTTTGAAGAAAGTGGCGTAGACGATCAAATGCTTCCCGTAAATTCTGTCCGTGCTCTCGTCGATCGCGAGGCCGATCCATGGAGAATCAAGGAGGTGCGACCGCTGTGATTCTTGCAGGTATGTGGAGATAGCCCGCAAGTTCTCTTTGAAACCATAACTGCACAGGGAACCAGAATCAACTCACATCAGTACGACATCCAGTGGCATGCTAGCAAAACATAGACTTAAAGAATAACACACTTACACTGTGTAGTAGGCTCAATATCCGCCTTCACGAGACAGGTCCGGAAGACCCTCCTTCGCCAAGAACCAACACAGCGGCACAAACATGGCAATAGGGGCGTCAGCCTTACAGATAAATAAGGCGATGTGGAGTATGCGGATGATATGGCGTGTGGCGGTGTCTGTCGTCTGCCACCGCATCAATGTGACCTGCCTCTGCTTGTCCGCCTCCGCGCTTTCTTGCTCTTTCACCGCTTGCTTGTGAGCTCGGGTCGAAACGTGCGTCCGGATGCTACCGATCTGCAGATCTCGTGCGCCCTCACCCCTCACGCCGTAGCTGGTGTGCGCAGCAGGGTCACCATACTTGATGCAGATGTCGCATTTAAGCCCCGGCCGCCCGTCCTTTTTGCGCACGAGACGCAGCCACGAAAACTTCCCGGACCATTCGGTGTCGAATCGGTGCTTGATGACATCGAACGATGCCTCTTCCGCCGTGTTCTCATCTGCTTCCTCCTCACGCTCCGCCGTTTTGGGAGGAGATGCAGATGTGCGTGGTGGCGGCGCGCCCCATAGACGCTGCTGGATGTATTTTACACCCACGCGTTGACGTTTCCCGGGCGCACTCTGCGCGGTTGACGGAGTCTCTGTGACTCCTCTGGAAGATCCCTCACCACCGCCTGGAACAAGGACAATAGAGGGATGTGGCTCGAATGCAGAGGGTGAGTTAGGAGGCTCAAACAGGTACACGGTACAACCGTGTCGCACGGGAGAGGGAGCACGTGGCACTTGCTCGATGGGAGTACTAAAATTTTGCGACAGTGGCGGAAGAACGCCAAGCACGGAGAGGCCGTTTCGGCGTGGTTCTGGTGGATCCGCGGGATCTTGCTCGGCAGGCATGACTGGTAAGCGGGAGAGGTAGGCGTGGGGTGGGGGTGGAACAATGAACCGCCTGGTGAACAAAGAACGGGGCGAGCAAGATAGGAAAGGACCCCTTCCTTTCACAACCACCCACCGACGAAGCGCCCATGCATGCATGGATCAGATCCGTGCAGCACGTGAAGATGCAGTGTGGTGTTGGCAGTTCATTGTGTGGCTGCGCACCTTCAGCAACTTCGGCGCGCTGCCAAGAAACGCTGGCAAACATATCTGCCTTGGTGGCAGATATGTTGCCAATCGGTCCAATGGTGGGTCTCTGCACAGCGGGGGAATTTTTTTTCACCACACGTTGGGAACACAGAGCAGGGCGGCAGGGCGTTACGTGAGGGGTGCAGTGCATCTGGGCGAATCCTCGCTAAGGGAGACTCGGTTTCAGGTAACTCAGAGCCCACCCTTTCTACACAGGGAAACGAAACGCCTACGCTGAATTTGTAAGGGTAACCAAAAACCCATTATTTGGGAGAAAGGGTAACACAATTCATAGCCGGCCTAGATCAGGGTAACTAGTAAAAAGCGGCCTACAGAAAGGGCAAAAAGGGTATTTTACCCTGATATTTTGGGCCCTGGTCAACAAGGCCTAACTGCACACAACACCTCTGGTGGTCACAAGGCGGAAGCGCCTTGGTGAAGATGTCTGCAGTGTTGGCCTCGGACTCCACAAACTCGAAGCGAGCCTGTCCACATCTCTGCAACTCTCGCAGAAGAAAGTACCTGACGTTAATGTGCTTCACTCTGCTCTCCAGTCGCGGCTCTCGACAAAGGAGAATCGACGCCTTGTTGTCAATGAACAGTGCAGAGCTCGGCCGCTCACCAAGGTCGGCGAGCAAGAAGGTGAACCAACGCAGCTCCTGTGCCGCCATGGCACCAGCGTAGATCTCAGCCTCAGCTGTAGAGGTCGAGACCGAAGAGGAGCGCGTAGACCGCCACGAAACAGCTCCAGAACCCAAGCTGAAACAGTACCCCTGAGTAGACCTGTGAGTCTCAGCGTTGCCAGCGTAAGAAGAGTCACAGTGACCAGTAAGTACGACAGGCTGCTGCCCTCCAAGAACTAGCCCCACGCCTGATGTCGTCGCTAGGTACTTCACCACCCTCACAGCTGCCGTCCAGTGAACAGGACGGTGTCTCTCTGGCGCAACAAAGCGAGCAAGGATGCTGAGAGGGAAGGCGAGGTCCGGGCGAGTGCAAGTCATCAGGTATATGAGGCAGCCCACCAGCTCTGCATAGGGACCACTAGACTCAAACGGCTCGTGAGGAAAGGATCCAGTAAGTCTGTGGTCAACAGCAAGAGGTGTGCGATGTACTGTGGAGTGCTGAAGCTCGAACCGCTGAAGGACCTGCTGCACCATGTGTGACTGTGAGAGTGTAATGGTGTGAGCAGCTCTGTCCCTGGTGATCTGCAGGCCAAGGTAGTGGCGCAGCTCACCAAGGTCAGAGCACGTGTGTCTCTTCTGCAGTTCGGACTTCACGTCTGCCAAGGCAACCCTGTCAGCAGTGGCAAACACCAGGTCGTCGACGTAGACCAGAACAAAGAATGGTGTGGAGCCACGACGAACGAACAGCGACGGGTCGGCAGAAGACGGCTGGAACCCAAGGTCAGAGAGGGTAGAACGAAGAGTATCGTGCCACTCACGAGGAGCCTGACGAAGACCGTAGACAGGTCGCCTCAGCCTCCACTGAGTCCCAGGAGGGAAAGTGTCAGTGAAGGCAGAGGGACGACGAAGCCAGACCTCCTCGTGTAAGCTACCCTGAAGGAAAGCAGTGGAGAAGTCGAGAGAGTGTAACTCGTAGTCTCTCTGTGCTGCTACGTGCAGTAACACCCGAAGAGTGGTCATCTTTGGGGTAGGCGCGAAGGTCTGAAAGAAGTCAACTCCCTCACGCTGACTGAAACCTCTAGCCACGTAGCGCGCCTTGAAGACCGGAGGAGATCCCGGTGGCCGCTTCACCCTGTAGATCCACATGCCATCGACTACGTTCGCCCCAGGGGGGGGAACCTCGTCAACGTAGGTGCCTGTGGATCTGTAGGAGGCCATCTCTGCGTCCATGGCAGCTCTCCACTGAGAGGCCCAAGGCCCTGACACTACAGTACCTCAGCGTAAGTGCGAGGAGTCGGTATGTCAAGGGCGTCGGGGTCTCCCTCAGGGGCGAGCAGCATGGCACAGAGATGTGGGGAAGCGGCTGCCAGGAACTCTAGCTCAAACTGCCTGTCCTCTAGGGCGTCACAGCCAAGGGCAGACTCACCCCCGACGGCCAGAGGACTGGTAGGAGGAGCAGCCACAAGACCGGTGGCGTAGTCAATGTTGGTGCAACCCTACGGTTTGCACTCGGCTTGTTGTCCGTGTGCGTGAATGTGTGTGTGTATGGAATGGTATGAGGGCATGGGATAATATATATTTCATGCTTATAATTGTGTGTGAATGTTGAGTCATGATGTCGAGTGTGTGTGTCGAGTCAATAGCGAGTTATCGCTAGACGCGTGTTACGCGGTCGTTTGTGTCTCGCGCGCGGTTTCTATTTTGTCGTGCGCGGTTTCTATTTTGTCCTGTGTCGAACGTTCGGCGTGTCGCAGGTGTGTGCAGCAGACCCATCAAGAACTCAAGGATGAGTTTGTGATGAAGAGCCCGAGCCTTGGTGTCAAGCCTCAAGTGATTTCGAAGCTCGCCAAAAAGGGTACACCTCAAGATATTGAAGATAGTTACATTACTTTGTGTAGTGTAACATTTCACTTGGTGTAGGCCCTAGTGAAGGGTAGTTTCGAGACCCTTCGTGGTTGGGGACAGTGTGGCACTGTTCCACATCACTGTACCTCGGCTCTTGGGGTTTGTAGGAGCTGGGAGTCATTCCCAACTCGTAACTCTTCCTATCTTGTGTTCTAAGACTATAGTGGCTGCCATAGTACCGTTCGTTCAAACCGACGCTGTGTCGTCAATTCTTTATCAAATCGTGCAATCTAAATTGCTAATTGTAGACGACGTAAAGACGCTCCAGATCCAATTTGAATCAAGTCATTTGCAGCTGTGAGCAGAACGCTATCAACGTTTGAAGCCGCTGTGCAGAAATCCGTCTGTGCTCTCTATCTTTCGTTTTAGGCACATTCAAGCCTATTGTGTCTATAACAAGTGGTATCAGAGCCCCTTGGAGCAGTTTCGACAATGTATGGACCTGAGGAAAGGGGTGGCAGAGGTGCTGGTGGCAGTGGAGAAGCTCAAGCTCAAGGCCAACCCCGTGATTCAGCCATGGCGCCCATGCAACCAAGTCTTGGCCCACCTAGGGATGAGCCTAGGGTGTTTGGGCTTGACAAGTTCAACGGTGACAACTTTGCTGAATGCTCCTTCAAGATGGAGAACATCTTTGACCACTATGACCTGCTGGAGGTGATGGAAGGAACGGAGAAGCGCCCCGAGAACGACCCGGAGAAGAGCCCGTGGGTGCGGAAGAGCGCACAAGGCTATCTCTTACTTGGGCAAGCGTTGGGGAGCAGTCAGATCCGTCACATCAAGCCATTCCAGCGTGAACCAGAGAAAGGACCAAAGGCATGGGCTGCTCTCAAGGGTGTACATGCTCCTGCAACAGCGGCGGTAGCGGTGGTGTTGGAACGGCAAATGGCGGCACTACGAATTGAAGAAGACGAAGCGGTTGAAGAAGGGGTGCAGAAATTCTTCGACTTGTTGACGCGGCTTGAGGGAGCTGATTTGAACTACAGTGAGCTCCAAAAGAAGACCAAGTTGCTGGCCTTACTCCCAGAGTCATGGTCCTCGCTCATCATCAACCTTAATCGCGACTTGCCCCGCCTCTCGCTTGAAGACGTGAAGCGAGCTATCCTTCAAGAGGATTTCCGCCGCCGTGAGTTGGCGAGTGCGGATGGCGCTGGGGCAGCAAGCATCGGCCGTGGATATGGTCGAGGAAGAGGCAGAGGACGAGGGGGAGGAAGGTTTGGTGGCAGCAACTTCGGCGGAGGCCGCAGGAGTGGCGGTTACGGCAGCGACGACAAGAGCTACGGACGCGGTCGCGGCCGATTCGACGGCGAGTGTCACTATTGCCACAAGAGCGGACACATGTGGCGCGACTGCTACAAACTCCCTGATGGTTGGACCCCTGCTCAAGGCCAAGAGGGTAGAGGAGCAGGAGGAGGGAGAGGACGAGGCCGTGGAGGCCGTGGCGGTCGCGGTGGCGGAGCTGCAAACATGAAGAGCGGAGACAACGACAAGGACCCGAGCGACGATCGATACCCGGGTCTATTCTACTTCGTGTCGACGCAAGTACCGGCTGGTCCAGAGAAGGATGATGGCTTTGAGGAGCCAGCAGCTGTGGGGAAGGTGACCCTACACCCCCTGGACTATTGGGTGATTCATAGTGGCGCTACCTATAGCATGACACCTCGCCCGGACTTGCTCACCGAACTCGAGCCGTCACCGGTGAAGCATGTCACATCGGCTTTGGGGCAGCGAGCAGAGGTGAAAGGCATGGGCAAGGCCATGTTCAAGGGTGCTGATGGGAAGATGGTGGGCCTCAAGAACGTGCTTTGGGTGCCCAGTCTTGCTGCAAACCTGATTTCCGTGCGGCGGTTGGCAAAGGCCGGCATGGACACGAACTCGAAGGGAGCCAAGACCTACACCGCAAGGCTTGGCGATCGAATTCTTTGGGACCTTCATGAGGACAGGGATGTCTACAACGAGATGTGGCAGATCCCAGTGGTCCCTATGCCTAAGGAGAGGCAAGTGTCAGCAAGCATCAGCACCAAGGATGGAGCGGTCGGTAGCGACGATGGCGCGAACGGTCGCGCTAAGGAGAATGAGCTCAAGAAGAGCAAACCTGGAGGGACCAGCAAGTTCAGTGAACCTAAGGAGAGTGGTGCAGCAACCAAGGAGCAGCAAAAGGGTGAGGAGAACCCAGAGGCAGCAGCGGAGGAGGAATACGGAGAGAGTATGTGGGGCGCTATTGCGAGCGCGGCATTCTCCAATCCAACTTCGGCTACGGGGGAGTGTGATTGGCTCACCTTGCATCGGCGCATGGGGCATGTGGCCCTGCCCATCTTGCAGCAGCTAGTGAAGAATGAGATGGTTGCTGGCATACGTGTGAAGGGGGAGCCCGATGAGGTGCTTGGCTGCCCGACGTGCATTCAAGCCAAGTTCACCCGGTTTCCGTTCCCTAGTTCGGAGGCAACGGCAAAGGCACCGCTTGATGAGGTGGTGATGGACGTGGTGGGCCCCCTGAAGCTTGGAGCTGCTGGAGCTGAGTATTTTCTCACCATTGTCGACGTCTACACCCGCATGACTTGGGTGTACGTGCTGGCCAAGAAGAGCGACGTGGCTGAAACGTTGAAGACGGATTGGTTCCCGATGG